TTGAACAGAGATGAAGAAAAAAACGGAGAGAACAGATCGCACCCTGGCTTTCAAGTTTGAAGGAGTTTCCATCTTCATAGGTCGAGTTAGTCGAGTTTTTCCAGAAGCGATTCACAGTTGGATTCAGCATCAGCAACCTTTACCCATTAGATCATCAACTTGACATCATATGATTTAAAGGGGAATTCCTCCAAATGTACACATCAAATTTAGGCTGCTCGATTATGGCAAAAATCATAATCTCGATTATTTGGGTCAATAATTGAGATTATTAAAAACGATTATCCATGTACTTTGAAAACATCCATTTATTTAAAGAAATGTGAGCAGTATGTTTTTAACAGTTGATTACCCTGAACTTTAATATAATTCAACTGAAAAACCATTTAAAATAAATAAAAAAATAAAATCGTTTTATTTCCATGTTGTTTTCATAATCGTTGCAAGCCAAAATCGTAATCGCGATTAAAATACGATTAATTGAGCAGCCCTAATCAAAGTGTGTCGACGGGTTCAGGACAAACTGCTAAACTGAACAAAAAGAGAGCTTTTGCAGCTCCAAGGGAACACTAATCCTCATCAATGCTTGAGGCTACATGTCTAAAAAGTCTGACAGTATTAAGGGGGGCTGATGCTTAATGAGGAGCACTCTTAAATGTATTTTACTATTTAGGAGTCTTAATGTAATAAAGTTGAGAAATTACCGTTAGGGAGGTGTTACTTTGCAAGTTATACATTTGTTATACTTTCATCTTAATGAAATATATCATATACATGCATTAGCACCTCCAACACAGCCCTCTTAAGGACATGCAGAGGAATTTCTGCGGGTTCCTGAGTGGTTAAAGGGCATCGTGCCAAGGTCTTCCTAAGATACATTGATATGATAGTGACACTCTTTGAAGAAACCCCCTGAAGCCAAAACAGGCTATACCCCCAGTTTGCTTACATCTAAGAAGAACCAACATTGTTATCTTAGCAGGGCACCTTCGACGAGCAGAGCAAACCGATCAATGAGCAGCATCACAGGGGCGATGGGAGAAGGGAGGCTGAGGGTGAGATGGATGAGCAGGGGGAGGGGGATAAATGAAACATCTAGTGCTGCTTCAAAGGGAACGGAGAGATAGAAGTTGAAGAGGAAGAATGTGTGCTCCACGTTAGATGTAGAAAGAGAGACAGATTGCCTGAATGATCAATTACAGGATCAAAGGTATGGTGGAAGTCAGGGTGGGATGGAGGTCTGATCTGAGAGAAGGTAGGACTCTGGAGGTTCGATTAGGGATTTGAGATTTTTACTGACAACTACCGAACACCCCGGATCTGGCTTTGAAGTGTCACCACCCCATTATTCAATGAATTGTTTCCGTGACAGTCTTTGCACTGCATGTGACCACACGTCCAGCAAATGCAATTGAACAATCCAGCTGTCTAGACTTGAGGGAAATCAGTTTAGAGTGGACAGTTTGAGTCCTGCCTTCAATTGGTTACATTTCCCATTTGCAGGGGACTGTGGAGGCGAGAAACCGTGTCGGGTACTTAAATAAAATCTTTCTCTGGCCTCCCTGTTAGGTCTGTCGGGAGACAATTACGAGCAAACACAGAATCTCATGGAGCGCCTGCCTAATAATACATGACATGGGAAGAAGTTGCCTAAAAGGAAAAACACCATTATCATCATTGTTCGCTTTCATGTGGTTACAACATCGCCATTAAGATCAGGCAATTGTGCAACACAAGCTATTCAGTTTTTTGTGCAGGAACTACCTTTTGATTTTGAATGTGTATCCACCTAGAAGTCTTTTCTGAGTGGTCAACAACCAGAAACGCAAAGAAAAAAGTCACAAAGCATCGCTGTCACCCAAACAATGAGGCAGATGAAGGACAACAGACTGAGGTCAATGATCAACCAGACCACACAAAGCAGGGCTCCCTCTGAGGAGAGCAAATCCTAATGCGTCTGTGTGTGTGTGTTCTTGCACAAAGGCATGCATCTGGGCTGTTCGAAGTCACTGAACGGCAGCACTAATGCGAATCTAAAAGATACATCTTGGTAATTCGTCTTCTACATAAAAGCATCTTACTGACACTTTATAGTTACAACGTCTTAAAATGTCTAAAGAAAATGTTCCCACAGACAAATTACTTTTCTGCGTGCATAATTCCTCACAAATCACATTGAGCAATTAACGTCATTTTCTCCTAAGCCAGCCAGGACAAATCAGTCAAAGGTAATGTTCCCCAAGTGAGTGCATGCACAATTATACTCACATAACAGGTCTATCCAACTATTTCATATATTCTCCTCTGCTGGACTGCACAGCTGATAGAAAGCAGCTCTGCTGGGGGAGCCTCAGCAGCAGACGCCCATTAGACAGACAGCAGCCCTGTTTACTGAGAGAGTGTACATGCTCAGGGCTCCGCCTCACTTTATGCCCCTGCTTTTACAGAGGCAGAGAGGGAGGGATGAGGAGGAATTGCCTTGTATTGCCTCTATCTATTGGCAAATAGCATGGGCTCCCAAACCTCCTCCTCCCAGTCAGTGGCGTTTTCTCCCGGAGGCCAAGGGAAGCCAGGCTTCCCCTGTTTTTTCGGATTGTAGTTATAATTTAAATAAATAAATACAAACACTTTGTTTTGTTTCGATAATTCTCCTTTGCTGTGTGTTGCTGCCGGCCCGGCTCTCCCCCATTCTCATTGAGTATTTTACAAAGAGTGAAACAAACAGCGCCCCTCTAGATGTTATGGTGAAACAGTAGATTGCACTCACTGTTGCGAGAGGAGGCCAGCCGAATCTAGCTTCCCTTGGTGAAAAAAAATGGAGGGATTGACCAATCAGATGAGGCCCACGTGATGCCCCTGCCAACCTGTGATTGGTCAGGGCCATGCCAAGGGAAGCTAGCCGCCTCTTGCTTCCCTTCAGAGGCGGCTGGCGGCTGGCGATTTGATTGGACACTGCCATCCAATCAAATCACATCAACATCAGTTTTAATACTGTAACTGTCATCACCGCCGTTAGAAATTATCAAGCAAATGAAGCATTATGGAGGGTGGAGATTTGGCGTACTTAATCAAACATAACTTTACTAAACTTCCGCTACAGCAGCAACTACAAATTAAATCAGATGACAGGCAAATGCCCGCACTCGAGCTGTGTGTACGCAGAGGAAAAAGGGAGAGAATCGGACGTTCAATGAGGACAATTATGTCCGCACGGAGTGGCTAACTGGAAGCGCTAAACTTCAGCGTCTAATTTGCTGGCCATGTCTTCTTTTTGACAAGGATTCGTGCTCCCTGAACAATCCTTGGGCAACTTCAGGATTCATCGACTTTGCCAACCTGTCACGGGCAATTGAGAGGCACGGTAAATCCAAAAATCACATAGATTGTGTGATTGTCTGCATACATTAATAAGTCAAATGCTTAAATTAATAAGGAGAGAGTTTCAGCTGGAGAGTGCGTGCGGACCTGTCGGTTAGATAACAGGCGTGTGCAAGTCCTGCATCTGTGTGATACAAATGTGTGTAAAATGATACCGGGCGCTGTAATCACTCATCTGGTTACGTTATTGACCACCCCCCGACCCAAAAAATGGGCTTCCCCTACATTTTTCCCCACGCCACGCTACTGCTCCCAGTAGAGAAACAAAGCTACACCTCTTCTGGACTGCATGCTCCTGGCCATCAAACTACCCACATGTACAGATGTCATATGGTGGGAAAGGTGACGGTACACCCTCTAAAGCCCATTGTAAGTCCTCCATCAGGCCACCTTCACCTCTCTGCAAACACTAAGGTCATGCACAACACACGGTAACAAGCCTTCAACAGAAACACGCCATTCCTCCCACATTTTCACCTGTCTCTTTCTGCCGAACACAAACAAACCGAGGCGGAAAATCTGCAGTTCCTGAGCATAACTTTTACTTGATGCTGCACCAGCCACTTCAGAGAGAAGATGGGAATCATTTATTTACCACATGATTGATTTATTCTCCCCAACGCTGTTTTCTGGCTCATAAAAAAACAAAATCTGTATTCAGTTCAAAGTCCAAACTTTTCTGGCAGCTCGTCTCAAGAGGTTGAAAAATGTGCTTCTGTATCAACACACTCTCCTCTGCAGCATCCAGCCATGGTTTCAGGTTTGGTTGTGCTGACTGATTAGCTCCCCACAGAAAAAGCATCCTTATTCAGGGCCAGAGGTGAGAGAAACCAGAGCAGATAGTCTAATTTGAGGTCACCTGCCGTGCTGAGAGGTCAAAGGGTTAATGATGGGTGTGATGATGACCACCACCTGGATGCATGGAGGTCCAAACATGACACATTTTACTGACCCATTCATCAAGGCGGCTGCAGTTTTAAAGCCAAGGGGAACTACTTTTGTTTGACTTGTGAGGTTTCTGTGTGTTTTGGTGAATGAGGTGCAATGTAAAGAATGAGTTCAGCAGACTGGAAAGAAACGCATGACTGGTGACAACTTAAGCAAACCCATATTATTGTGGGAGGCAGTGGGTACAAACTGGAATTGATGACAGGCAGGATGGAGGAAATAAAAGTCTATTTTGAAGATAAACGTGTGAAAGCAATAGCCTTGGCACAGACCAGGACTCTGAATGATGTCTTCCCTGCTGCCAAGAACCCACATTTAGCAAGATGTTTGAGCTGAGAGTAGATCATGATGTACACTGTGGCAGTATTTCAGCTACGCAGTCGGTTAATACCAATATGTATCTTCCACGAAAAAACGTGTGGAGACCGCGGGGCAAAACTTACACCTCATAGGCGCTTCCCAGCAGCCCGTGGCCGGCGTCCAGAGCTCCGTGCCCGCCTTGAACCGAGACTTTTAGACGCCAAGCCACACACACACACACACACACACACACACACACACACACACACACACACAGGCAGGCAGACAGCTGGAAATATCCGCTGCAATATTATTATAGCCGCTTATTATGGAGTAAAGTGCGCGTTTTTTTAAAGGAGTTTGTCACCACTTACCTAAAAAGACACGGAGAAGTGTGCGTTGACAGCAGTCCAAACTTTCAAATGAAGTCTTTGTTAGTGGTAGTAAAGCTGTGTTTTGTCCCGAACAACACACGTCCACTTAATAATCCACACGGAACAGTTGTTGCGCTCAGTGAACGACCTCTGTGTGGGAGGAAAACTCGGAAAACAAGAAAATATTCGAAAACTGCGGCTGGAAATTAACACTGAGCTTATCTGTTACTTCACGCTTTTGGAAAAAAATGTTTTAAAACTTGTCGACAATGAGGGAGAATCTAAAGAATGAAAGCGAGACACGGACCGGGGTTCCCTGCTCCTCTCGGCCGCCTTTCTGGATCTGATCCCCGGCAGCAGCAGCAGCCTCACCACCAGGTGCTCATTAACATAACTGCACCGGCTGTGTCCAATCACAGCGCAGAGCAAGGTGTCTGATTGAATATTCCAGCAGAGCCATAGTCCAATCAGAGCTCTCGGTGGGCGGGAGCTGTGACCCTAACAACACTGTATGAAGAAATCCAGCCTTCAGGGGCGAGGGGGGAGTCTTTGTTACTGTGATTTGGGGAATATGACATATGATACAGCAGCATGCGGACTGCTTTCACCTTGTTAACCCTTTGCATGTTTGAAATAAGCCACTCAGATGTTTTAAAAGGGATTCTTTGATAATGTAAACTTGTAAACTGGCTGTTATGCCTCTCAGAATCTGGCCTAGGCTGTTTAATGTGGACCTGCAACACTGCTGCATTGGTATTTACCTCTAAAGGAAACTTTATTACAGAGTATTGGCGGTGTAACTGTATACCATTACTGCCCGGGGCTATAATGACTCAGATTGAAGGGTTTGCAGTAAAGCACAGCAATGGAGCTGGAACCAGCAGAGTTGTTGATATGGGACCCGGAGGCAAAGCAGCCGGGAAATGGGAATTCATGTTTGAAAAGAGCCATATGTGTGTATGTTAATGCTGAGTTATATCAAAGTTGAGCAAGTCACACACGCACACACTGACAAATAAAGGCTGTGCAGGAGTTGCAGTATGCGTTGGTACTTGTCTTGCTGAGAGGAGGAAAACGTTAGCTTGTGCTCAATCAGCAGCAGGCACAATAAAGCTCATTTAACACAGAGCTCCACCTTGGATAAACACAGAGGAGGAACACTGATACTCTCTCCACTCTCAACCTCTGTGAGGCAGTTCTGTCAAAAAGTTAAATATGCTTGACTGAAATAAAGTCAGCAAAGTGATTTATTTAATGATATGCCGTGGTGAAAAGACTATTGTGCTGCATTTCAGAGGAAAGGGAACGTTTCACTGCTCTACATTTTACAACTAGAAGCAGCAGATATTCTGCACGCTGAGTTCTTGCACATGTTACCCTTTAAGTACATTTGTTTGCTAACATTTCTATAACTTTAACTTGAGTTTGAATTCAGGACTTTTACTTGTAATGGAACATTTTAAAACTACAGTGTTGTTACTTTTAAGTCAATTATTTGAATACAACTTCCTCTACTGATTCCATGTTACATATAAGATGCTATTTAAACGAACACAGTTGTTTGTTCATTTGATGTGTGTTTTTATCCTATATTCACTGTAATGATATAAAAGTGGTGTACTTAATTAGTCAGAAATAATACTATAATACAAAATGCTACTGAGCTGCATGTACAGGCACACAAATACAATGCTTACTAATGATCAATTTATTCTTATTCTTCTTATTTCCACTCTAAATCTTGACTTTTTATAGTATTTTCTGCTGTAGTCAGGCCACCCTTCCTCCCACCTCACCGCTCCTCCCTCCTTCTCCCTCTTGTGTCTTTGTGTTTATAAAGACTGGACTTTCATCTGGCCTGGCCTCATTCTCTCTGCATATCATTACCATTCACAACTTTTCAATTCAGAGCTGCACCACCCCGAGCTCTCTATCTCTCTCTATCTCTCTCTCTCCTCTCTCTCTCTCTCTCTCTCTCTCTCTCTCTCTCTCTCTCTCTCTCTCTCTCTCTTTCTCTCCGTCCCCGTCTCTCTCTCTCTCTCTCTCTCTCTCTCTCTCTCTCTCTCTCTCTCTCTCTCTCTCTCTCTCTCTCTCTCTCTTTCGTCGGGGGTTTAATGCTTAAGCTGCCTGCTTCAATCTTTTGCATAAAACTAATCTTGCAGGCAGAGTTTTTTCTGTTTAGCCGATTTATTAATGTTTTCGGTTTCTCTGGAGTCTCTATTTTTTTTAAAGAATGTGATAAACAAGTAACTATCTTAAAAAAGAAATAAACAGATGAAGAAGAAATCTTTATGGGTGTTGTGAGAGTTATTATCCAGGATGCTCATTCTGATTCCCAGAAATGATGTTGCCTAATGACCGCTGTAATTGTCAGCTCTCTTTCTCCTTTCCCTTTTCTTTTTCCAGCCTTTTCAGTCGAGCACATCGTCAAACAGGCTCTGCTTTTGTTCGTTGTCCGAGCAACTGCAAATCCCTTGGCAGAAATTATGACCTTTTTCATTATTACTACCAAACACTCTGAACCTCCTCGCTCCGAGTCTTTGTGTATCTCCCTTACTCTCTGCCCAGAACTTTTTTTTAACATATCTTATCTTAAAATGTACCAGAATAGAGTTCTAGTTTCTTGTCTCTTCAGCCCCTTTGTCAACCCCCTTCTCAACTCATTCTCCCTTTAAGTGAAAACCAGCGGAGCATAAAAAGCAGGTCTGATCCTGCGAGGAATTCACTCTGAGAGGCAGAGGGGAAAAAATAACTGAGAGGGAAAGAGAGAGAAGTTCAAGTTGTATAATGTTATGAGTCAGCAAGGACAAGAAAGCACTTGAAAGGTAAAGAGAATGAAAAATAATGAGTTTCCAAAAACATCAATAGTCTGTCAAGTAGAAGAAATGAGCTTTTCAAAAGAGATAGAAGATTGATAAAAGTTATAGAACGTCTATAACTGCATTCAGCAGAAAATTACCATTTTCATCTACAGCTTCTATTCAAGAGGGATGACGGATGATCTATTGTCTGTCATTCCCACTAGGCGGCCTGAATGTATCACCTCTCTTACTTCACTTTAGTCGCAAAAAACACAAACATCTGAATTGGAAATGGAAGTGTTCAACTCAAAGACATGGTTCAACACACACGCTCACACACACACACACACACACACACACACACACACACACACACACACACACTGTCCACCCCCTGTCTGACAGCTGTGCGGGCTGCAGGGTTCAGACAACACAGATCAGTTGCAGAATGTGAAGCTTGCAGTACGTTGGGAACCGGCGTAAAACCACATACCAGGAATACTACTCTCTGAAACTTCTCCACCAGTGTCCTTTTCACTGGGAATACCCAAAAAACAATAAATGCCTCTGATTTGCGATGGTCAACGAAACCTCCACATGAAATACCTTCTTATTTCACATGCATGTGTGAGTTCAGGCTCGGGTTTGGTTTAAACATACATGCATTTATGTGTGAGAGTGTGCAGCTCATGCACCCTGTGTTCAGAGGTGGGAAGTAGTGGAGTACAAATACTTCGTTACTGTACTTAAGTACATTTTTCTGGTATCAGTACTTTACTCCACTACTTATTTTTCTGAAGACTTTTTACTTTGACTTCTTACATTTTAAACACAAATACATGTACTTTCTACTTCTTACATGTTGAACCCAAATACCTGTACTTTCTACTTCTTACATGTTGAACCCAAATACCTGTACTTTCTACTTCTTACACTTTGAACTCAAACACCTGTACTTTCTACTTCTTACACTTTGAACCCAAATACCTGTACTTTCTACTTCTTACACTTTGAACTCAAATACCTGTACTTTCTACTTCTTACACTTTGAACTCAAATACCTGTACTTTCTACTTCTTACACTTTGAACTCAAACACCTGTACTTTCTACTTCTTACATTTTAAACACAAACACCTGTACTTTCTACTTCTTACACTTTGAACTCAAATACCTGTACTTTCTACTTCTTACACTTTGAACTCAAACACCTGTACTTTCTACTTCTTACATTTTAAACACAAACACCTGTACTTTCTACTTCTTACACTTTCAACTCAAACACCTGTACTTTCTACTTCTTACATTTTAAACACAAATACCTGTACTTTCTACTTCTTACACTTTGAACTCAAATACCTGTACTTTCTACTTCTTACATTTTAAACACAAACACCTGTACTTTCTACTTCTTACACTTTGAACTCAAACACCTGTACTTTCTACTTCTTACATTTTAAACACAAATACCTGTACTTTCTACTTCTTACATGTTGAACTCAAATACCTGTACTTTCTACTTCTTACATTTTAAACACAAATACCTGTACTTTCTACTTCTTACATTTTAAACACAAATACCTGTACTTTCTACTTCTTACATGTTGAACACAAATACCTGTACTTTCTACTTCTTACATTTTGAACACAAATACCTGTACTTTCTGCTTCTTACATGTTGAACCCAAATACCTGTACTTTCTACTTCTTACATGTTGAACTCAAATACCTGTACTTTCTACTTCTTACATGTTGAACCCAAATACCTGTACTTTCTACTTCTTACATGTTGAACCCAAATACCTGAACTTTCTACTTCTTACATTTTAAACACAAATACCTGTACTTTCTACTTCTTACATGTTGAACACAAATACCTGTACTTTCTACTTCTTACATGTTGAACACAAATACCTGTACTTTCTACTTCTTACATGTTGAACCCAAATACCTGAACTTTCTACTTCTTACATGTTGAACTCAAATACCTGTACTTTCTACTTCTTACATGTTGAACTCAAATACTTGTACTTTCTACTTCTCACATTTTCCAAACAGCTGGTTCCTTTAGTCTGAATGTGTGTTTGGATTTGTGATCATTATTCTTTAGAGTCATTGCGTGCCTATTGATTTGAACACGATCCGTGTATCCATCATTTCCTGGTCTTCTCTAAAGAAGAGGGACCAATGGAAACGTTGTCATGTTGCCGTTGTTCAGCATGGAAACATTCATTAGCTAACAATGACATTATTGTTCTATTCATATAAAGGGAGGTCAGGTACTCTTTAAAACAGCTGCTAGTTATGGGTACTTTTTACTAAGTACATTTCAAAGCCTCTTTACTTTTACTTGAGTAAAGAAGTTTAGTCAGTACTTCTACTTTTACCAGAGTATTTTTAAACACGAGTATCTGTACTTCTACTTGAGTAAAGGATGTGTTTACTTTAGCCATCTCTGCCTGTGTTCCCCTCATGTCTGTTTACTGAGACTTGTCTCGGCTCTGTCAGTATCCGTGTCCCAGGCAGGTTATATGTGATTG